TACCACGTCGGTGTTCCCAACAACAATGGACTGTACCACAATGGTCACGTCGGTGTTCCCAACAACAATGGACTGTACCACGTCGGTGTTCCCAACAATGGAACAATGGACAACAATACCACGTCGGTGTTCCCAACAACAATGGACTGTACCACGTCGGTGTTCCCAACAACAATGGACTGTACCACGTCGGTGTTCCCAACAACAATGGACTGTACCACGTCGGTGTTCCCAACAACAATGGACTGTACCACGTCGGTGTTCCCAACAACAATGGACTGTACCACGTCGGTGTTCCCAACAACAATGGACTGTACCACGTCGGTGTTCCCAACAACAATGGACTGTACCACGTCGGTGTTCCCAACAACAATGGACTGTACCACGTCGGTGTTCCCAACAACAATGGACTGTACCACGTCGGTGTTCCAACAACAATGGACTGTACCACGTCGGTGTTCCCAACAACAATGGACTGTACCACGTCGGTGTTCCCAACAACAATGGACTGTACCACGTCGGTGTTCCCAACAACAATGGACTGTACCACGTCGGTGTTCCCAACAACAATGGACTGACGTCGGTGTACCACGTCGGTGTTCCCAACAACAATGGACTGTACCACGTCGGTGTTCCCAACAACAATGGACTGTACCACGTCGGTGTTCCCCAACGTCGGTGTTCAACAATGGACTGTACCACGTCGGTGTTCCCAACAACAATGGACTGTACCACGTCGGTGTTCCCAACAACAATGGACTGTACCACGTCGGTGTTCCCAACAACAATGGACGTACCACGTGTTCCCAACAACAATGGACTGTACCACGTCGGTGTTTCCAACAACAATGGACTGTACCACGTCGGTGTTCCCAACAACAATGGACTGTACCACGTCGGTGTTCCCAACAACAATGGACTGTACCACGTCGGTGTTCCCAACAACAATGGACTGGACCACGTCGGTGTTCCCAACAACAATGGACTGTACCACGTCGGTGTTCCCAACAACAATGGACTGTACCACGTCGGTGTCCCAACAACAATGGAACAACACAATGGACTGTACCACGTCGGTGTTCCCAACAACAATGGACTGTACCACGTCGGTGTTCCCAACAACAATGGACTGTACCACGTCGGTGTTCCCAACAACAATGGACTGTACCACGTCGGTGTTCCCAACAACAATGGACTGTACCACGTCGGTGCTCCCAACAACAATGGACTATACCACGTCTATCCCAAACACTAACCAACCTCGATTAGCCGCTGAAAAAGATGCCTTCATGTACAGCTGGCTGTATCTGTCAGACTCGACGGAACCAGCTTTAAACACCCAGCAATCAATGTTCTAATAGATCATGTATCCATTCAAGTTGCAATAAATGAAACTGTCTGATGTAACCAAGCCAGCAGAACACAACCCTCAGTATCGATATTCCACAACAAGGAACATGTTGCTGTTTGTCCGTTGCTGTAATTTAGAGTTGTAAATCTGGTTCGAACGGCCGTCGTTTGCTTGTGATCTCCGATATCAAAACAAAAACAGATTGCCACCGTTCGCCTCAAAGAACCAAAATAATCTTCCATGCAGCTGGTATGTAGAATAATGTGTTCAGGTGATGTCTGCAGCTCGCCATCTACAGTCTCTGGTAGCTCCTGTCTGACTGCTTCTTGCTGTTATGTGCTGACTCAGCGAAGTCATCGCCATTACCTTTCATTCTTCATTAGAAGAGACATAGTGTCTGAAAACCGCTCCTAGATTCTTCGTGTATTGTGTCTACTGAATACTATGAGTGATGCTGTGTAGATAGTGTCTGAATACTGCGTGTAATACTGTGTTTCAAGTGTCTGAATGTTGTGTGTATTGTGTACATAATGTGTATATAGTGACCACTGAATACTATGTGTATATACTGTGTGTATAGTGTCTGCTGAATACTGTGTGCATTAAATTACTATGTATATAGTGTCTGGATACTGTGTGTACATACTGTGTGTATAGTACCCTCTGAATACTGTGTGTACATACTGTGTGCATAGTGTCCTCTGAATACTATGTGTACATACTGTGTGTATAGTGTCATCTGGAAAGTGTGCGTACATACTGTGTGTATAGTTCCCTCTGAATACTGTGTGTACATACTGTGTGTATAGTGTCCCCTGAACACTGTGTGTACATACTGTGTGTATAGTGTCCTCTGGAAAGTGTGTGTACATACTGTGTGTATAGTGCCCTCTGAACACAGTGTGTACATACTGTTTGTATAGTGTCCTCTGGAGACTGTGTGTACATACTGTGTGTATAGTGCCCTCTGAATACTGTGTGTACATACTGTGTGTATAGTGCCCTCTGAAAACTGTGTGTACATACTGCGTGTATAGTGTCCTCTGAATACTGTGTGTACATACTGTGTGTATAGTGTCCTCTGAAAACTGTGTGTACATACTGTGTGTATAGTGCCCTCTGAATACTGTGTGTACACACTGTGTGTATAGTGTCCTCTGAACACTGTGTGTACATACTGTGTGTATAGTGTCCCCTGAACACTGTGTGTACATACTGTGTCAGTATAGTGCCCTCTGAACACTGTGTGTACATACTGTGTGTATAGTGTCCTCTGAATAAAGTGTGTACACACTGTGTGTATAGTGTCCTCTGAATACAGTGTGTACACACTGTGTTTATAGTGTCCTCTGGAAAGTGTGTCTACATACTGTGTGTATAGTGTCCTCTGGAGACTGTGTGTACATACTGTTTATATAGTGTCCTCTGTATACTGTGTGTACATACTGTGTGTATATTGTCCTCTGAATACTGTGTGTACATACTGTGTTTATAGTGTCCTCTGGAAAGTGTGTGTACATACTGTGTGTATAGTGTCCTCTGGAGACTGTGTGTACATACTGTTTGTATAGTGTCCTCTGTATACTGTGTGTACATACTGTGTGTATAGTGTCCTCTGAACACTGTGTGTACATACTGTGTGTATAGTGTCCTCTGAACACTGTGTGTACATACTGTGTGTATAGTGTCCTCTGAATACTGTGTGTACATACTGTGTGTATAGTGCCCTCTGAACACTGTGTGTACATACTGTGTGTATAGTGCCCTCTGAGTACTGTGTGTACACACTGCGTATATATTGTGTGTAGAACCTTATCTGAATGTTGCATTACAGAGGGCTTGATGCTGATATTCAATGTGGGTCATCGTGTACAGACCAGGTCCACATTAGGTAGTCCGGATAACCAGATCACCCTGCAAAGTCTACATCGAGTCACCTGAGAATAAGAAAGCGTGGTTACATGAGGAACTAGGACATCTGATTCGGTAGTTTCCGGAGATGAATCAAATGATGGTTGTTGGTCTACATCGAGATAACGTCAAGGCAATGGGGATGTGCATCCATCCTCGTGTGTCAATGGACAAGTATCGTGTAAGCAGCAACACCTGCATGCATTGAGCGCTGTGGACGTGATATCTGCAACCTGGATGTCAGCATGAGAGTCAGAAATAGTATTTCGATCAATATTGAACTATTTAACGCATTCAAGGTTTTTTAAAAATGGGAAAATGTAGACTGTCAGTTTCAGACCAAAATACATTGGATTAAAGAAATGCGGTTGTATAAATCGAGGTTTGTAGGACCTTGTATGATGATAGCTTTAAATGTAGACCTTTGTTTGTTCAGGATACAAAGCACTTGCATATATCTCCCTTTCCTCTGAGCTATGCCTTAATTCTGTTTCATATCCATTCTGATTATATCCAAGAGAAAAAATATTACATTATCATCCATCACAAACACACGTGTAATGCTGGCGTTGTTCGCCAAACACGTCCATTGTGACATGTGTAACGCTGTAGCCACTTGTCGTTACCTGAACATTGCGAACCTCTTCACAAACGCCGGATATCGCCACTGATAATTCTATGACTACATTGTTTCAGCTCTCTTTTACCTTTTCCATCGGAATCTTTTATTGAAAGACAACCAAGAGTGATTAAGTTCCAGCTCTTAGTTTATACTGTCAGTGTGAGGAAGTGTGTTCCCCCTTGCGTCCATCTACACCGCTATCAACATACTTCATGATTCAGTGACGACACAATCCACCAACATAAGTCAGACCATGTTTTAGATTATGGCTATATAGTCTTTAAATGCTACAATAAACACAGGAATGTTTTACTGAAGTTGTGATAAATGTAAGGCTTTGAATATAATGGATACTTATAACTGTATTGATTTTATCTTGTATTGGATACACGTATATATGTATTTGTTCTGATTAAACCCTCACGGGGCGGACTATTACCAGACAAAAGTCTTCAGTTGAATACTAACTCCCTATGCCTGTAGTGTTTGGTATTCAGTGTATTAGTCGATGTGATATTCCACAACTGTGATTCGTCACTCAATGTGTCACTGAAGATGTGAGGTGGAGAAACACAAGACCGTCAGCTTGTCATCACGTGACTTTAATTTGCAGATAGCACAGGAAGATTGGACAGTGAATGAACCGAAATGCTACATTTTAATTACAAGATTACCGAGGTGTTCATCCTGCGTTGAGCTGGAGTAAGCGATTGCTGAGGTAACTCTTACACAGTACTATTGGTTGGGTATTGGATTGAGATGAATGTGAATCGTGTTGTCAGGTTCACTGGCTTGGTTGAAATAATCACATCGTGCTCATGGGATCAGTCACTGTATTGCTTGGTCCAGACTTGGGTTGGAGGCTCTTGTCATAAAACATGAATATTGCTCAATGTTAAACAAAACAACAACAACATACAACATATACAACAAATGAGGTATTTGTGTTTGTGGCTCCGTATGTGTAGTCTTTCACCGAGCCTTCCCGTTTCCAGTTGATTTCATGTTGCTATAAAACTGCTTGGCTGAGATATGAGTTTTAAGAATTTCTAGTTATTCCAGTCGCAAACATTACCGCACAATTTATTCTTCAATAACGTTAAGAAAACCAATTGATTAAACATAAACATTTTATTGAAAAAGGAAATGTCCAACAGAATGACATATAAAGTAAGAGATTACACCTACCATGAAACATTGTAACTTGTGTGATAATTTTCTGTATTATTTGACGAACAAAGACTTTTATATATGATCTACCCGAGGCCGAGATGCCTGAACATATCAAACCAAGTTGGTAATTAGACTGTCTTCCTGACATGCCCCTTGGATTAAACATACTCTCTATCATCGCTCACGTCTCCAATACGACATGGACATGGACGACAATCCATATATGGAAATCACTGGTCTGGCATGACAATGCTGCGCTTATAATTTTGGACTACAAGCTAGTATCCTGTATCTGAATATTGAGTTTCCTAGGTTGTGTGTTGGCGAACCTGGTGATATTCACTGATGTCATTGTGTCTTCGTGCAGGGAGATAACACACATGAGAGACTTGTGAAAGACAACAGAATGAGGTGGGTCTTTTGTTGTAAGCTTGGGCGCGTGCGGAGTTCACGCATGCGCACATCACAGAACCGTTTATTCTTCAGGGGCAACTCTCTTCTCGCCATTGAAGGTGCTCTTCCAGTCTTGCAGCCCGTTCGTGAAGAACCGCTGGTAGTTTCCAAATCTGTCTGGGAATCCAGACAACTGCCTCTTCCCTCGACCGCCATCAAACACGCTGCCCCAGTCCAGGAACTTGCCGCCATCTTGCAGGTAACGACCAAACGACAGGTCGTTGGACCCCAGCTGTCGCTTGACCATCCATTCGTACCATTTCTGGTACCGTTGGTCATTGTTTTGACCATCCCCAAACGACTGGGCATTCTTGCCCATCCCCATTCCGCTGACACAGACACACAGGGTTGCCACGGCAACGACAGTAAACGCCATCCAGGAATTCTGCATTGTCAGGATCTGTCAAAGACAGGAGAAATATTCTGAGTTATTTTGCATGAGTGAGTGAATTACAAGTCAACGTCACAAAGCCATATTTAATGTGTGCTGCATTAAACAAGTTTTGAATGATTATGCTGAAAATATGAAATATGAAAATATTTTATTGGCAAGCGTTGACAGACAGAAAACTGAATCACAATGAAATGAAATATATTAAACTTTTGATTAGTGTTTACTGTTTGGGATTGCTCTGTATATCAGCGGTCTGTACATGATAAAGTCATGACCAGATAATCGACTCAATTTGGATACCATGACATGATTCAGCCAAGTCAGCGAGTCTGCCACCTCTACACTAATGATTGTGCAAGCTCGAATTCAACCTGTTCAACTGTAAAGTTCGCAGATGATGCAGCAACTGTCGGCAAACTGAACGACACTGATTCTGAAGAACTGTATAAAGAGGACATTAATCATTTTACGACTTGGTGTGCAGAAAACCACTTACTCTTAAATGTCACAAAAACAAAGGAACTGATAATTGACTTTCGGAGTAAACCCACAGAAATGCTTCCAGTGATAATCAACAGTGAATGTGTTGAGACAGTGTCGGAGTATAAGTATCTGGGAACCTTCATTGACTCTAAGCTGAACTGGAACTCTAACACTGAAGCCCTATACAAAAAGTGTCAACAACGTCTTCATCTCATGCGTAAACTGAGATCTTTTAATGTTAAGCCATATGTGATGTCATCTTTTTATGCAGCATTTATTCAGAGTATTTAACATTTTCCTTCCAGTGTTGGTACGGGTCTCTCTCAGTTCATCTCAAATCTAAAATAGACAAAATTGTTAACACTGCAAGTAAAATCGCACGAGTCAGATTTGAATGTTTATCATCAATATATGAGCAGCAAATCGTGAATCAAGCTGTCAAAATCATAACTGACCGTACTCACTACTTAAATTCGGAATACAACCCCCATCCCTTCAGGCTGCCGCTAGAAAGTTCCAATTGTGAAAACTAAGAGAGCCCGTACATCCTGTATTCCAAGTACATGTACCATATCTCTATTAAACAAATGTGAAGATACCTAAATCAAAGAATTTATGTAAATATGTTTGGTATCTCTTTAATGTGTCAGTAGCTCTGCTGATGTAACACAAATTCCTGAAAAGGCATTAAAGTATTATTCTATTCTATTCTTTTCTATTCTATCACATGCACATCATCTCGAATTAAATGACGCCTTACTCAGTTATATAAAAATCCAGTCTCCAAGCTCGCTGCTGCTACATAACTACTGAAAATAGCATGACAAGTCTGCTAACCAGGGCGGCAACTTTCGACTTCTTATAAGGCATTTCATTGGTCGGTCAAAGTTCTGAAATGGGATGTCCTAAGATCTGCCGTGTAGCGAACACTAAGGTCTGATCTAAACGAGGTATAGATAGACAGAGCTTTTGGGCTCAAGCATATACTCTTGGCTTGCTACCTGTATATTAAAGAATTCTATTTTGCCCATCCATCAATTGATAATTTTTCTTCTCTATGGAATTGTTCAAATGAAATTACAATTCAAAATGTTGCGTTTTTTATTTATCAAGCCATGAAGATAAGAAGAATGTTTATATGAAATGTACTAAAGATTGATTAATCACGAAATAGTGGAGGCGGAGAAGTTGAGAGTGTCTCAGATTTTGCGTTGATGTTGTTCAGGTGGCGTCCAAAGTTTTCCCATTCAAGAGCATGTGAAGGACAACCACGGGTTCAAGTAAAGTATATGAAGACGTGATATCTGCATTCTTAGTTACTCATACTTGGAATGATGATATAATTCAATTTGTTCCCTTCCTTATTGAATAATTCCTGTCCCGACAAGCAATGTTGTTCGCCGGACAGATACGGAAGTGCGCGCATCTTAATTGGATGAAGCTATCAACACTATGCGCTGGTTGCACGTATGACGCACGTACCTGCGTTAGTTAATTACACATATATACGTGTTATAGATATCTTGTGTTGGATTTAGATCCAATGTTGTTGTGCTATAATCCACAGATCCACCATAACCTGTAACAACTTCCCATGTGAAATGAGCTGGCCACAACGCAGGGTTATTGGTCCTTCGTATAAATATATTTTTTAAAAAGCAGTAGAATAATACTCTATTAATATATTTCATTTTGAACAGTCTACATACGCGATGACGACGACACAGTAAGTGAGTGAGTGTATTTTTACGCCGCACTCAACAATATTCCAGCTATATGGCGGCGGTCTGTAAATAATCGAGTCTGGACCAGACAATCCAGTGATCAACAGCATGAGCATCGATCTGCGCAAATGGGAACCGATGACATGTGTCAACCAAGTCAGCGAGCCTGACCACCCGATCCCGTTAGTCGCCTCTTACTACGACACAGTGGGAACATTTGATACAAATACTGTATGTGATTAATATGTTTAAAATTGACTTTTATTTGAAATTTCCAAGTTTAAGGGGGCATTGTTGTTTCAGATGCTGGGGCAGCAAGTGATTTTCATGTCGTCGACCAACAGAAACTGCATGAAAACATTTATTCTAAGTATTTGTGGCATGTCAAAGGCTTTGATCGGGAACCATGAAATACCCAGTTATTAAGTATAATGTCGTCGTCTGCAAAAACAATATAACTTGTATAAACTGATAGTGAGACTGGCGAAGGAACTAAATTCAATAAACTTTCCATGCGAGAGACAGAACAAGCAACAATAAAAGAATTGTCTTTAAACAGGAAATCGTTAAAAAATGAATTAAAGTTTTTACTTTGGGTTTTTTGTAAACATAATTTCTGCCGAGGTTATCTGGTTCCAGCTTCATTATCGACCACTCTCTACAGCCGCACTAAAACAACAGGATCGTTTTGCTTCAGTCAATCAGTGCTAAAGTTCTTCTCCTACATCTCCAGCTGTGTTGGTCTGGGGACAGGGAAATATATCTATCAGTAAAGATATCTACTGAACAATACAAAACTGTGAGTTGGGGAATCTACCAGTCGAGCAGGATATGTTTCCTCTTTTCCTGAACACCTGGTGTCTCCACTGATTGTAGCCACTCCATCACGTAATTGCCATTTCTAGTTTGCCTGTCACGCCCAGTGTTGGCTCCCAGCTTTTATAATAAAACTATGAAACGTTTTGGCGATGTTCAATTTTCCGACGAAACAATTTCCGTTTGGGCGTAAACGGGAAATGTGAGTGATCCAATCGACAATGACACGGATAATAACATGTATCTGTGGGACTAATGAACCAATATTTTGTCCATCAAATTTGAATGTTTAAGGAAAGGTGGACCTCCTTGGACAAGGAAGTCATTAACATGGCAGAAAACTAGAATTCTGACGTTTCCCCATTGTATAGGGTAGAGGTCGGAGGACAATACAGGAGGACAATAAACTCTTGACATGGCTAACACTTTCAGTTGGTAAATGTGACTTCCGTTACTATTGTGGGAGTCATTGTACAACCATTGAATACCTTCCTTGCTGCTTGTTGTGTCTCCACCATTGGGGCGACCACCAAGTTAATGCACGTTACGAGTGAGTGAGTGAGTGAGGTTTTACGCCGCTTTTAGCAATATTCCACACCGGAAATGGGTTTCATAGCACCCATCTGGGGAATCAAAGGGCCTTCGTCGTTACGAGAGAAGGCTTTAAACATGTCAACAGATTATGTTTTATTCAGTGGAACAATGACAAAATAGAATATGTAACATTCGACATGTTACTTTATCCCGACAATGACCAGTGAGCATATTACTAACAAATCCAACATTTGAGTGCTCACTATCATTCTGTTGCACTGGGATAAATAACAGACGTCCTCATTGAAACAAAACTTTAAAAAAAGATAGATTTAGGCATATTTGATTCCAGTGAGTACACTAGTGAATTGTAACAGCCCTACTTGACATAGGCGCAGATCGAGGCCTGCTTGGCATTTCGAGAAAATTAAATCAAATGAGTATAAACTGATTGAGATCTTTTCCAAGTCTTGGCACGGCAGATGGTTGATAGCATGAGCGCCAAACACTGCCATGTGGACACGTGACACACCATAAATCGGTGTGGCCAATCAATCAACATTTTAATCTCGAATATCGACAACCATGCGGTTCTAGGAGCGTCTGTCAGTAAGAAGCAAGACATCATGCAGGGTGAGTGCTGTCTATGGACGAACATGCATTATCCAACTGAAAACCCAGACTGAGAGTATCTGTACAATGTGGTAATTGAGCCCCAGCGAGAGACCTAACACCCACGGAGTTACGACAGATGACACTGGTCAAACAATGGGCTTTCCTATGGTTCCCGTGGGTACGCAGTGGGATCGACCCGATACACGCACGTGTCTACAGTCATGCTTACACTGGATCAAACATACACTTATCGTTAGATCACGCCTTCACAGTAAATCAAATAGTATGTGTAAACACTGTATGAGTGGATCAGTAACGCACATTTATAACCGCGAACACAGGTTGTAGATTCACAGATTTCGTATGATTAGGGAAATGGTTTGGTTCCAAATGCTATGAGCAATTGTGAAATCAGAGGGTGTGTACTATTCACGAATATTCAACAAACAGGTAATGTCCGTGGCCGGATCTGCTTACACAGGAATCTGTGTAGCACAGTGGTACAGTCGACCGTCAAGACCAACAACTGGGTTCGATGCCCACCAGGGTGCATCATGCGGCATCTGCATAGTGATATGTCTCTAGTATCTGTATACACACTCACTCACTCACTCTACCGCTTCATTTGGAAATAACTTGTTCTATATTTCTGTTGTTTTTAGTTGGGTACTTCCACGTTTCTTGGTAATTCAGGTTGGAAACATTGTTGGAGCAGACGATTGCGCGGATCATTCACTCACTCACTGTTAGAGAATGCAGTGGTTGTTATCGTGGTGGTTATAATTAGTACACATGGTCAAGTGCGACAATGACGTGTACTAATTGTGATGGCCG